AAGACATCGTCAACTTCAAAATAGCGTTTCTTATAGTTAAGATGACTTTAACTTCAAAATGATATTGTATCATCTTTGACATTGTACTTTAAAATGACATTTATCACTTAAAAAATGTCATTATGGAATTCTAAACGTCATTTCTCAAGGTGAAGTAGACTTTTATAACTTCAAAATGAAATTTCTCACTTTTAAAATGTCTTTGTGAACTTCAAAGAGACATTTCTTATAGCAATGTTGACTTTTTGAGCTTTGAAATGAAATTTCTAACTTTTAAAATGACTTTGCGAACTTCAAAATGACATTTCTTAGCCTCAAGAAGACATCGTCAACTTCAAAATAGCGTTTTTTATAGTTAAGATGATTTTCACTTCAAAATGATATTGTACATCTTTGACATTGTACTTTAAAATGACATTTACCACTTAAGAAATGTCATTACGGAATTCTAAAAGTCATTTCTCAAAGTGAAGTAGACTTTTTTAACTTCAAAATGAAATTTCTCACTTTTAAAATGTCTTTGTGAACTTCAAAGCGACATTTCTTATAGCAAAGTTTGACTTTTTGAGCTTTGAAATGAAATTTCTAACTTTTAAAATGACTGCGAACTTCAAAATGACATTTCTTAGCCTCAAAAAGACATCGTCAACTTCAAAATAGCGTTTCTTATAGTTAAGATGACTTTCACTTCAAAATGGTATTGTATCATCTTTGACATTGTACTTTAAAATGACATTTATCACTTAAAAAATGTCATTATGGAATTCTAAACGTCATTTCTCAAGGTGAAGTAGACTTTTATAACTTCAAAATGAAATTTCTCACTTTTAAAATGTCTTTGTGAACTTCAAAGCGACATTTCTTATAGCAATGTTGACTTTTTGAGCTTTGAAATGAAATTTCTAACTTTTAAAATGACTTTGCGAACTTCAAAATGACATTTCTTAGCCTCAAGAAGACATCGTCAACTTCAAAATAGCGTTTTTTATAGTTAAGATGATTTTCACTTCAAAATGATATTGTACATCTTTGACATTGTACTTTAAAATGACATTTATCACTTAAGAAATGTCATTATGGAATTCTAAACGTCATTTCTCAAGGTGAAGTAGACTTTTTTAACTTCAAAATGAAATTTCTCACTTTTAAAATGTCTTTGTGAACTTCAAAG